ATCTTTCTTCTTCTTCTTCTTCTTCTTCTTCTTGCTTCTTTCTTCCATCTTCTTCTTCTCTATTTCTCTTCTTCTTCTTCTTCTTCTTTCTTCATCGTCTTCTTCTTCTTTCTTCTTCTTCTTCTTCTTCTCTTTCTTCATTCTTCTTGCTTTCTTCTCCTCTCTTTTTCTCTTGTATTGCCCGCGCATTGTTATCAGAGTAACTAATCTTTATTCTACCATTGCTGTCACTTCGCTCGCAGGCATCGCGCCCCACGATTCCAAGCTATTGCTAATGTAATGGGCAAATGGCGCTGCAACGTTCGGGTCGCCGTTGACTGCCAAGGATAAATTCCTTCGGCCGTTCTGTATTACGAATCAACAACTGGTAGTCGGGCAGGGGCTGACAAGCACGTGTGCATGGTAAAATCTGATATACAATGGCTTCACTTTCGCGCGCAGCATCGCGCCACGATTCCCAAAGCTTATTGCTAATTTGTATGCGGCAAAGGAAGCGCTGCAACGTCGATCGCCGTTGGGACTGCCAAAAGATCATTATTCTCGGCCGTTTTAATACGTTCAAAGTGGAAGCGGCAGGCTTGACAGCACCAGTGTGGCATGGGTAAAATCTGGTCCTACATCATCTGCGACTTCGTAAGTATGGAAGTGATAATTAACAAGTTATTCCACCGCACACAATTTTAGATAATGAACAGTTTCCCAAGATAAAGTTATGAAATAATGTGCGTGCGTGCGTGCGTGCGTTGCGTGCGTTGCTCGCGTTTGTGTGTGTGTGGCGGGCCGTGCGGCGTGCGCCGGCATTCCGTGGCGCGGTGGTGCGTGCGAGTGCATGCGTAACGCGTTGCGTGCGTCCCATTTAAACTTTGCATCGAAACCCCAACACGCAAACTCGTGAAACATGCTTCATTCAGCCAAAAAAAATGGTGGGTATTTCATTTTTATTTGACAGATAAACGTGTGACACATCGAATCGCATCGTATCAAATATGTAGCATAGATACAAGAGCTAATAAATTATTAATTAATTAAATTAATTTAATTAATTAATTTAATAAATTAGCTATTAGCTCTTGATAGATACTATATAAATGTATAGTAAACAGGGAACCAGTCATCGTATAAAACCTTATTACGATATTTACAAAAACACCATTTATGCTGGCCCTATGGACGTATCTGGTAATTCGGGATTGGTATCGGTATCGGTAGCGGTAATTGGTATCGGTTATCCGGTATAGTCATCCGATGGCCTGCTGGATTGAGAAATCCTTTAACTGAAGCCCCAATATATGAAGATATAAGTCCAGCTTTGCTTTCTCGCAGTGTTAGCTTCCACACACATGCAAAGTACATTGGTTGCAATGCATAGTTGCAAGCAACATTGCAAGTATATATATATATATATATATATATATATTATATATATATATCACATGTATTTGGTTATATGCATATATTATGTATATATGTTGCACAGGGAATAAAATACTTAATTCTGTTGTTGGATATCTATTCTGGATCATTCATGGATCGAGTTATATCCAATACTTACTAATAGATATCATATGCGTTTCCGTAATTATACTGATTGGATTATATGTAAAACGCGAGGAACACGCGCGCACACACATTGGCACGCACGCACGCGCACGGCATACCGCACGCACGCACGGGCGCACGCCACGCACCGCACGCACGCATCTGCACGCCACCACAGACACACACACACGTGGCACCACACATACAGCCAACACCATCATACACAACACGCAACACCACATGCCCGCACCACACGCGCACACTCATACGCACAACACACAACACCACAACACACACACCACACACACGCACACACACGCACACACACACACACACACACACACACACACATACACACGCACACGCACACGCACATACACATACACAGACATACGCACCTTCACAGGCATACACACACGCACGTAAGCACGAACGAACGCACTCAGAGTGATACGCAGAAATTGTGTTTAATATAAAACGGTAGTGAAAGACGATCACTGATAAATCGGTAGACTGGACCTCTGGTTCAGGGTAGCAACAAGTTACCCTTACATTCTACATCGCGAGGGGATATAATATTTCATCTGTCTGCAGTACCTCCATCCCTACAACACATGCACACGCACGCACGCACGAGTGCACGTACGCACGCGCGTACATGAGCGTACACAAGCTCAGATACACTCAGATATCCAGACCTCCCTGCCTACACCACAAATGCGCACGCACGCACGCACGCACGCACGCACGCACGCACGCACGCACGCACGTGAAAACCCCAACTCTAAACCTACTCACCAACGATGAATCTAACCACGAGCCTAACCATAATTATAATCATAACCATAACTATAACCATAAAAATTAATCCTCACCATAAACCTAATCCAAACCTTAACCCTAACCCTAAACTGAGCGCTAACTCTAACAATAACCATAACCCCTAACCTTAACCGTAGCTCTAGATATGGCATTAAACACACTCCCAACCCAAACAGGAGATATCAACCATAACTCTAACCCTAAGCCTGATTAAGACTAACCATAATGCTACCGTTTTGATGCCATTAAACACAAAACCCGATCATGTTATGTAGCAAGCTATAGGTATCCCCTCACGATATAGAAATCACTCAGTGCTCACAATGTTTTGGCATGCATAGTACGACTTAAATATAATAACTTTAAAAAACACACCGAAATAGACAAGAAAACCGAAGCAAGAGACAAAAAGAACTAGGAAGAGTCACGAACCGAACGTTCAGCTACGCACACACGCACTAGAAACACGAATATTATATAAATAGCAGCATAAAGTACAACCAGTGACAATAATAATAAGATTATTATTAATAATAACGATAATAAAACGATCGACATGCAAATTAAGAGGCTGCAATACAAACGCCACGACTACAGTGGTATATCACAAGAATAGGGGGCAGCACCGTACAGCGCTTATACATGGAATGATTATACGACTCATTCTGCGGATACAGTGACGTCAGAGCTAGCTGAAAATGCCAGCTATTATAGCCCAGCTGCACGGTTGTACGTGTCCAATTTAACTGCACATCGCAGCTTGGTAGATTCACCAGCCTGATAGATTTACCAGCTAGGTAGATGTGCCAACTGTAGCTCACACCCAAGCACGTGTTCACGTTAAAGTTAACTCTCTCTCACTAGAAGGATCTCTCTCTCTCTTTCTTTCTCGTGTGCTGGTAGTGTCTGTCCCCGTCCATTGCTGGGGGCTGTCCTCCTTGTCCGCCTCCCCCTCTCCGTCGCCGCTACAGCGTATGTCTGCTGCCCTCGTAACCATGGCAACGCCGTCCATCCACCGCATCATCAGGGATGCTTCGCTCCCTGCTACAGACCTCATCCCCCATGGGCGGCCTGCGGCGGTGGCGCTGGTGCTGTTGCCTAGGTTACTGCACGCAGCAGCACAGGCGGGAGGCCTCCGGCGCTGGCGGCAGTGCTGTTGCCTAGGTTACTGCACGCAGCAGCACAGTCGGGCGGCATCCAGCGCTGGCGCTGGTGCTGTTGCCTAGGTTACTGGACGCAGCAGCAGAGGCGGGCGGCATCCGGCGCTGGTGCCGGTCCTGTCGGCGTGACGGGAGTGCTGGGCGCGAAGTAGGCGTGCACCTTGAGCAGCGGCAGCGACCTCTGGTGGAAGAAAAAATGGTGAGGTGGTCGATTAGCGAGTGGCAGAGCGCGAGCGAGCTTCTGCTGTTATACTTCTCTCTTCTCTTGTTCTCACTCTCTCTCTCTCTCTCTCTCTCTCTCTCTCTCTCTCTCTCTCTCTCTCTCTCTCTCTCTCTCTCTCTCTC